GAGATGAGGACAGAATGAATAATGAACAAAAGGAAGGAAAGATACATGAACAGGAAGTAAATAAGGAAGGAGAATCGGAATAGTTATATGATATTTATAGCTATAAATATGTCAGTTATAAATATCCAAGATAATGGGCAATCAATATCATTAATACCCATAATAAACCCAAATTACGTGGGAAAACCGTTATAATTGTACATTCCTATATAAGGACACATAATTTTATTTGTAAAAATAGATCTCAAATACTATTGAAATACACTCTTTACTTTACTGCTTTTTCGAAATTCTGTCTTAATTTTACAATTTGACCATCAATTAGTTCCTTTGCCATACTTATCAGTAATCCGTTTTCTTCTAAATTTAGACTTTGATCAAGAAACATATTTTTTAGTTAAATAAATTGGTTCAGTTACCGGAAATCTGATAATCTTTTCACTTTCCAAATTATCTTTATGACAAGCAATCATGCCAACTGTCAACGAAAATAACTAGTTAAATCCACAGGACGGAGAAACTCTACCAATCCCTTCACCACGAGAATCTCCTCGACTGTCCCGAGAAGGGACACCTAAAAGATCAATATCACACACGAATGATCATCAAGAGGACGAGCAAACTATCAAGCAAGACGCTTTAAAACAATTGATCGCAGAACACGTGAACAACGCTCTCCAAGACTTTATTAGGGGATTGCCAACTGCGCCACCAACTCCTCCTCCAAACAATACTACAACCATAGAAAACCCACGCCCGAGACTTGCCAATTCAGAAAACGGAAGAACTCCTAGTGAATCTCGTGATGGAAGGTCAGGTACACCAAATAATTCTGATTTACAAAGTTTGATACTAACTTTGCAGAAACAGTTAAAAGACCAAAATAATCGCATAGAACAAATACCTGACGTACCACCCATGATTAAAGTTGTAGATATTGATAAATATTCACAACAGCCCTGGAAGCCGAGTGCAACACCTTTGCCGATTCCTAAGAAGTTTAAAATTCCTGATATTCTAAAATATGATGGAACAACTGACCCGCGAGATCACGTAACCGCATTTACAACTGGCGTGAAAGGCAACGATTTAACGAAGCAAGAAATCGAATCAGTTTTGGTCAAAACAATTGGTGAAAAACTCACAAAAGGAGCATTAACGTGGTATTCTCTATTACCTGAAAACTCTATTGATTCTTTTGCTGAGCTTGCAGATTCATTTATAAAAGTACGTTCGGGGGCTCAAAAAGTTGAAAAAAAGGAGAGAAGACATATTTAAGGTAAAATAAGGAAACACAACTACTCAGATAGTTTGTGGATAGATTCCAATGGGAGAGGATGATGTTACCACGAGTACCTGACAATTGGACGACCATGGAGTTTGCAAGCAATCTAAATGAGAAAAGTTCAGAAGCCACGAGGAAACTGAAAGAAAGTTTGCGAGAATTTCCAGCAACAACTTGGAACGACGTGTATAACAGATACAACATGACACTGCAGATAGAGGAAGACACGGTTGCACAACCAAGGGTTGATGAAAGAGCAGGGTCAAGATGCTCAGAATCAGAAAAAAGGACCGGAAAAAATAGGCACGAGCCTTATATGGGTCCTGCAGGTCGAGATTCTCATTCCAAACAAAAAAACTTACGATACAAATCGAGGTCAAGGCGAAAAGATGCAGGTTCCTCACCTAGATTCAGAAAGGAACGGGATGCGTGAGGAGATAATTCCAACACACATGCGAGAATCGGAGACTACAGTTTTAGTGTCACTACCTCTGAGTTGGTGACTGTTTTAAGAGGTACGGGAGATAAGGTACGGTGGCCTAAAGAAATGAGGTTAGATCTGAGCAAAATAAATCAAGATTATTGGTGTGAATTTCACAACGATCATGACTATAGAACAACATATTGCAGGTTATTACAAGGAAATGTTGAGCATTTATTGAAGCAAGGTTATCTAACTGACCTATTCAGCGAGAAAGGTAGGCAATCATATATGAAGAATATACAAGAACCCCCAAAACCCCCATCTCTGAAAACAACAGTCAACGTAATAACCGGGGGAGACGAGGTCAATGGTGTGACCTATACAACAACAAAAAAGACATAAAAAATCACAGTCACTCATGGAAAGAGAATACGTCACACCTTGGAAGGAGACAATATAACATTTGATGATGAAGATGCGGATGGCTTGCTGATTCCTCACAATGACGCACTTATAATATCCTTACTTTTACACGATACTAACGTAAAACAAGTTTTGATTAACCCAGGTAGCTCTGTAAATATCATTTTACTAAGAGTGGTGGATGAAATGCAAGTTAACGACAAGGTGATACCAAAGGCACGAACTTTATCTGGATTTGATAATGCAAGTTACTAGCTACATTTGCAAAAGGGGTTATCAAGGATACACAGTTTCAAGTGATAGATGCAGACATGGCTTATAATATAATCCTGGGAAGATCATGGATTCACGATATGGACATTGTATTGTCCACATTACATCAAGTTATCAAATTTCCTTCAAAGTGGGGGATTCATCAAATTGGTGGAGATCAACAAGCTTCGAGGAGTATCAATTCCGTAGTTGCTACCAGCATAGTAAATGAGGTGGAAGGCAAGAAATAGCAGTTATAGAATTTAGTTGAGGATGTAGCAATACAAACCTCAACTGAAGGCATTCCAGCACAAGCTGACATTGATTCAAGACCCGATGTTGTTCAAGAGCCAGAAGAAAGTGAAAATATTAAGACAACTACCGAAGAACTCAAAGCGGTGGTGCTATTTAAACACTGGCCAGACAGAAAAGTTTTCAGGGCGTAAACCTGAGCACAGAAATGAAAGGTAAGTTAATTGAAATTTTAAAAGCTAACCCAATTTTCTTTGCTTGGTCGCATTCAGATATGACAGGTATATCGCAAGAGGTGATGACTCACAAACTGAACGAAGACCTATCATATCCACCTATCAAGCAGAAGAAAAGGAAGCAAGGATCCTTCAAAAATCAGGTGATCCAGGATGAGGTACAAAAACTTTTAAATTGGATCAATACGTGAGGTAAAATATCCTAACTATCTAGCTAATACCGTGGTAGTACCAAAAAAGAATGGGAAATGGCGAGTTTGTGTAGATTATACTGACTTAAGTAAAGCTTGTCCTAAAGATTCATTCCCTTTGCCGTACATAGATCAACTAATTGACTCTACCGCATGACATGAGTTGTTAAGTTTTTTATATGCATATTCAGGATATAAACAAATAAAGATGGATCCTATAGATGAAGAAAAAGCTTCCATTATCATAGACAGAGGGACTTACTATTACAAAGTTATGTTTTTGGTCTAAAAAATGCTGGAGCCACATACCAATATTGGTAACTAAAATATTTCAAGAACATCTGGGAGAGACTATGGAAGTCTACATTAATGAAGCTAAATTCTCATTTGTCGGACACTTTTCAAATTCTCCGCAAGTACAATATGAAGCTAAATCCAGAAAAATGTGCTTTTGGCGTATCTTCAGGTAAGTTTTTAGGTTTTCATATTTCTAACAGGGGAATTGAAGTAAATCTTGTGCAAATCAAGCTATCGAGGAAATACTCGATGTACTCACAAGCAAAAAGGAAGTGCATAGATTAACAGAAAGAATAACAACACTAGGGAAATTTATTTCAAAATCATCAGAAAAGAGTATTAATTTTTTTTTCAGTATTGAAAAAGTAGAATCAATTTGAATGGACTGATGAATGCCAACAAGCCCTCAAGGACATAAAATCATATATGTCAAATCCGCCTTTGCTAGCCAAACCGAAAGATGGGGAAAGACTGTTTATCTACCTTGCTGTGTCAGAAGTGGCGGTAAGTGCGGTATTGTACAAGAGGATAAAGGTAAACAATCTCCAATATATTTTGTTAGTAAATCTTTTTTAGATATTGAGACACGATACCCTAATCTAGAAAAACTTGTTTTAGCACTAATTATGGCATCTAAAAAATTGAGACCTTATTTTCAATGTCATCCTATTTCCGTAATAACAGCTTTCCCCCTGAGGAATATATTGCATAACCTGGAACTATCTAGTAGGTTAGCTAAGTGGCAATAGAACCTAGTGAGTATGATATCACATACCAGCCCAGAACTGTAATAAAATTATAGGTTTTAGCAGATTTCGTAGCAGATTTTAGCACAAGTTTAGTTCCTGAAGCAGAAAAGGGATTACAAGTATTTATCAGATCTAATCCAGTGACTTGGACTTTATTTACTGACGGTTCCTCGAATGTGAAAGGAGCAGGCTTAGGTATTATCCTAATTCCACCATCAGGAGAAATCATAAGGCAAACAATAAAATGTTATACTATCACTACTAATAAAGTAGAGTATGAAACTGTGATTGCAGGTCTGGAAATAGCACAAGAACTTGGCATAGAACAGATTGTAATCAAAAGTGATTCGCATCTTGTAGTTACCAAATGCATGGGGCTTACATAGCAAGAGAGGCATGAATGCAACAATACCGGGAAAAGGTACGAGAACTAGGCAAACAATTTCAATCGTGGAAAACTATTCAAATACCCAGGAAGAGAATGCAGAGGCAAATGCATTGGCCAATCTCGCATCTATTACGGAAGTAACAAATGCAGAAAATGCTATTGTAATACATTTGTTTCATTCAACACTCGATCAAGACAAGAACGGGGTAAATTTTAATAATTTAACTTAGGATTGGAGGAACGAGTTTGTCAATTTTTTGCAGTACGGAATCTTGCCCTAAGACAAGAAGAAGTCACAGGTACTTCGCCAAAAAGCTGGCCGGTATTGCGTAATTCATGAAAACTTATACCGAAAGATATTCGGAGGACCTTTAGCATGGTGCCTTGGTCCTTCACAAACAGAATATGTAATGAGGGAAGTACACGATGGGCACAATGGCAATCATGTTGGGGGAAGATCATTAGTGAATACTTTAATAAGAGAAAGATACTATTGGCCAAAAATGGAAGAAGAAGCAGAAAACTTTGTAGCCAAGTGCGATAAATGTCAACGATATGCCAATAACATGCATCGCCCAGCAGAATTGTTACATTCAGTTATCTCGCCATGGCCTTTCATGAAGTGGGGCATGGATATCATAGGTCCATTACCTCAAGCCAAAGGAAAGGTATGATTTCTATTGGTTTTAACATATTATTTTTCAAAATGGGTAGAAGCAGGAGCTTTCAAATAGGTGCGAGAAAAAGAAGTCAGGAACTTTATTTGGGCAAAATATTATCCATAGTTTTGGAGTTCCAAAGGAAATCATGTGTGACAATTGCCCGCAATTCATAGGCACGAAAATCACAGAATTCTTTCAGAGTTGGCAGATTAAACGGATTACATTCCCGCCTTACCATCCCGTAGCTAATGAGCAAGCTGAGTCAACAAACAAAGTTAATATTAATAGCTTGAAGAAAAGATTAGAGAGGTTAAAGGGCAATTGGCCAGAAGTGTTAGTGGGAGTATTGTGGGCTTATCAAACAATAACAGAACAAGTACGGGCGAGACTCCATTTTCACTCCTCTATGGCACTAAAGCCCTAATTCATGTTGAAATAGGTGAACCAAGTATGAGATACACTCATGCTATTGAGGAAGAAAATGAATAAGAAATGCAGACAAGTCTGGATTTATTAGAGGAAAGGAGGGAAGTTGCGCTAATAAGGATGGCGACTCAAAAGTAGATGATTGAACGATGTTACAATAGGAAAGCAAATTTGAGGTACTTCAAGATTGGAGACTTCGTCCTCAAAAAGGTGTTTCGTTCAACGAAAATGGCTAATGCGGGTAAGTTAAGTCCAAATTGGGAAGGCCCTTACAAGACTCGAGGCATCGCTGGAAAAGGGGCGTATGAGCTGGAAACCATGGATGGCAGCATACTACCATCACAATGGAACACTGTTCATTTGAAGAAGTATTATTTCTAGGTAAAGGAAGTATCCACGGTCAGGTATCACTCAGATATAATTTTATTTCGTGTTTTTGAATTTTACTAACAATTTTAGATGATAGACAAAAAGATAGCATGTACCAAATGATGATATTAGACCCGAAATACATGCGGAATACTGAATTATTTCTGGTCTAGGTTACAACCTTTCTGATGGAAAAAAGGGATTAAGCAGTCATCACCTAAACATATACCTCCGAGTCCCGTGTGTATTTTCCTTTTCAGGGAATGGACCAAAAGGAAGGAACAATCTAGGTGTTCGAGATTTCATACTTCAAAGCTCTAACAGTAGGGGGACTATACATATAGGCAAATAAGCTAAGAGTCAAAACTCAAGCCAAAGTGTCAAAAATCAAGCCTGAATAAAAAACCTTGAAGCAACCTTGAGAAGGTGTGAACTCGCTAGGAGGACACAAGATACACTTCAAGTTCCTACGAGTTTTTAGGTTAAGGCCAAAAAATTAGTCACATGATAACAAACATGATTTTCTATTAGTTACGTGATAATAAAACCGATTTTATTACCAATATTTCATATATTTACACCAAAAATGAAGATGAGACGTCATCTTCATCAGTGTCGCTTATATAAAAGGGCCATCTTTTTATAAAAGTTTGTGTTTATCAAAATCACTAATTATTAAAGCATTTCTAAATGCAAGTTCAAATATAAAAGAGCAAAATAAAGGCTCAGATATCAATATAAACGGTGAAAGCAACTGAAGTTGATATATTAAACTTTGGGAAATACATAGGTACTTGTTTGTTATTAAACCCCAAAACAAGATAGGGGTAACCAAAAAACAACCTTCCAAAAAAGAAAATAAACTTCCCAAAAGTTGAACAAATATGAAAGCAAGAAAAAACTAAGGGGCATCATCTGTGGGAGCATCAGGAGTAGAAGGGTCAACTTGAGAAGAAGAGTCTTGGACATTAGCTTCACCAGAAACAAGTCCATCACCGGCGGGACCTTCATCTTCAGGTGAAGAAAAGCTTTGACATTGTTGAGTTTTATCAATTGCTTCTTTAGCTTTAACAATCGTAACATTAAGGTCAAAACCCTCCTAGTTGGCTTCCATTAGAGTCTCGAGACGAGTGTTTAAAAAGGCCTAGCTCACATTTAATGACAATTTGTCCTCAAGAATCTCATAGTCCTTCTCCCATTGATCAATTTCAGCTCTTAGCTCTTCTTTTTCTGCTTCAGAGGCATCATAAGTTGTCTTCAAATGAGTAAGAGAACTTTTCAAGAACTTAATCTTATCAGTAGAGGCACATAGATCTTCTTGATCTTGAGTAAATGTTTGAAATAATTCTCCCGCATACACCTCTTTTGGATTAAAGAGTTTCCTTAAACTCCTTATCTCTTCAGTCGCCTTGGAAAGCTGTTCAACAAAAGAAGACTCAAGTATATCCTTGTCTTTTCTAACTTGGCTAGAAGAAGCTTTTTCAGCTGCTAATCCAACAGCAACCATCTTCATTTGTTGCTCTAAGGCATTCTTTTCTTCTGCCAAAATCTCTTTCTCCAATTGAGACCTTCAAATTGACCGTTCCAATTATCAGCTTCGGTGCGAAAGTCTACCGCTTGAGAATTCCTTTTCATAAGTTCAGTGCTAATCAAGTTGACCTGCGAAAAAATAGAAAAGTTCTTGAATAAGAAAGATAAAGGAAGGTAAGTATAATAAAGATTGTACCTTCAAAGAAGAATGAACGATATCATTCATCCAAGTCAGGGAGCTATGGCTTTCTGACTTTTTCTTCTCTACGGGTCCAATCAAGGGATTTAACCACACATCAACTTGACCCAATTTCTTTAGTAAACTCCCACCTTCAAGGACTTCCACAACAATTCTTTTCATTATCAACCTGTTGCAAGAGGGTCCAGTCTCTACATGAGAAGCAGCCACAGGAATAACAGATGGGGTGGAAACAATTACGGGACGAGCAGTACAAGGAGTAACAGGTAAAGACATGGGAGGAGTAATGGAACCGAAATTAGAAGAGTAGCAAGGGGCAGTTCTTCAGAAACAGGCCTGGAAGTTTCATTACACATGAAGCCATGAGCAAACAAACTATCAACAGAACTTGGGGGAGGGTCAACAACATCATCATCAGAAACCATTAAAGGTGTACTCTCTAGCTCATCCAAAAGTGTAAAGGGGACTGAACTCGATGGAGGCTTATGAGAAGGAGTGGCTTCATCATAAAAAATTACGCGTCTCCTGACCCAAGGTCTTCGCACTAAAGAACACTCCTCTGGTTCTTCTTCACCCTCAGATCCACAGGCTCCATAAGTTTTCCTTTTAGAAGAATAAACACTTAAAATTCTTTCCTGAGCAAGACTCACGGAAAGTCTGGTAGAGGGAACAAACACGGGACTAATACCACAAATGGAAAACCCTAGTAAAAAGGAGAAAGATGTGAAAATTTGAATAAACAAGAGAGAGAAAGGAAGAAACAATAAAGGTAAAAATTACCGTGTATCTTTACTTTCCAGCTAAATTTTTGAGAAAGGTATTTCTAGGACCTCTTCTCCATAGGTGTAGTAGTCAACATCTTTTCTACCCAAGCACAGAAGATGAAAATTTCATAAAACACATCCATGGATGCTGAAGGGTTGGGTATTTTATTATATTGAAGTCTTTTGAGATATTACAAAAACAAAAGAGGAAAAACATACGTGCAAAATTCCATTTATTTGGGAAAGGCATGTTTTCTTTACCCACTAACCCACTAGTGGGAGCAGCGGTAAAACGGGCATACCAGCCACAATCTCGATCATCTTCAGGGCTAACCAAAACTCTCTTACTTCTAACCACGCAAGAAAGTTCACCTTTACGAAATAACTTAGGGGAGTATAAGTGAAGCAAGTGTCGAAAAGTAAAAGGCAAGAAAACCAGTTCTGCCAAATAACGAAGGCATTCAACAGCCCTCCATACTATGGGGTCAATCTGGCCAAGACACACGTTGAAATAATAGCAAAACTCAAGGATCAATAAGGGGTTTTAACCCTAGAGCGAAAGGATAGGTATAGACGAAAGAAATACCGGCATGGTAAGAAGTAATTCTCTGGTTGGCACCAGGAACTAAAATTGGGAAATCAGATTTTCAATAACATTTTCTTCAAATAAGAGGAAGAAGACCAGTAGTAATCAAACTTGGGTAAAGGTCAGTACGATTAAGAGACGCTATGGAAGAAACTTGGTTTCTTATGGATTCACGATCAGTTACAAAGGAAAACTCTTGAGGAACAATTTCTGCAACTGTGGGTTCACGCATAGTTTCAATTGAATCTCTATTTCTTGAAGAAGATCTAGGGGTTATAGGAGCTTTAGGTCTAGAGGAAGATGGATTAGTAGCACTACTTTGAGAAGAGAAACCACGGTTAGATATAGAACCAAGACTACGTAGCCTACCACCCCTTCTACTTCTAGTGGGAGCATTAAAAGAAACAAAACTCGTCAATAATTACAACCTTATGGGGATCAGGGGAGGACATGATTGTCCAAAGAAAAACAGGAAAAAGATGCAGAAGAGTGTAAAACAAAAAGACGGAGGTGAATATGAAAGAAGAAAGACTTCAAGAAATGCAAAAAGAGTGGAGAATTTATAAGAAGACATGACCATTAGGTCATTATAAAGCATCATAATAGAATAGTCACTTTGTGACTGTGCAACCTTAGAAAAGCCCTAAAAAGCGATAAGGAATTGCAGAACCAATCGGTAGAAGCCATGTGGCATGAACATTAAATGGACGTGATATGCGTCACATCGTTTCTAAAGGAGACATGATTGTATTCGAAAAACGGCGACAGAGAATTCCCGCCATAAAAACTTTTCACTTCCTGAATATTCAGTAGAGAATATTCAGAAAGTAGGGGGACTATCTGTATTGGTGGGAAAATGGCGTTATACGTGGAATATTAGAATGCTAACATAGCATGACATGTGGAACAATGATATAGCAATAAATGATATCCTCAATTAAAAGAATTAAATGGGAGAAGAAGGCACAGGGAGAAACACCCACGAGATGGTACAAAGAAGAGGACCGAGCCTAACCATTGACGAAGAAGAGATGAGGAGGGAATGAATAAAGAACAAAAGGAAGGAAATATACATGAACCAAAAGTAAATATGGAAGAACAATCGGAATAGTTCTATAGTATTTATAGCAATAAATACGCCAATTATAGATATCCAAGATAATGAGCAATCAATATCATTAATACCCATAATAAACCCAAATTACGTGAAAAAAGCGTTACAATTGTACATTCCTATATAAGGACACAAAATTTTATTTGTAAAGACAAATCTCAAGTACTATTGAAATATACTCTTTATTTTACTGCTTTCTCGAAATTCTCTGTCCTTATTTTACAATTTAACCATCAGTTAGTTCCTTTGCCATACTTATCATTTTCTTTAAATATCATTATAAAAGTGAAGTAAAACTTGGTTATCAGTAACCCATTTTCTTCTAAATTTAGACTTTGATCAAGAAACATATTTTTAGGTTCAATAGTTGGGACAAGAATTATTGGTGCATTATAATTATTCTGAAAGATCATAAGATAATTAGCATATAATCACA